AATAATCGAATGGCGTCGCATCACTTTCGCTTTTGTTTGCCCGCCTGGCTGCGTACTCGAAAGCCCCTGCCCCTGTTTGGTGTTTACTGAGCAAGCAAATGTCCCAGCATTCAGCAGCTTACCTCACCAACCTAGGTAGGTAGCTAAAGAAAGGGATTTTTTTGGGTGTCACCTCATGTTTCTGATAGGCGCCCTGGGCCACACCATGTTCGTTCTTGCAAACTCCTTCCTTGCTTCTTTTTTAGTTTCCTCAACCCTCAAGGCCCATGGAGCCCACACTCACTCAAGCTGCGATAAATGAAAATGAGTCACCAGGAAAGCCATGACATGATGTGTGTCTCCGATCTTTGCTTTCGAGTTGTTGCTTCTTCTTGTCTCAGCTCATTCGTATTGATCGGTGCAGCGCGATTCAAACTCCACACGCGAGAAACACTCGAGTGGCCAGATTTAGACTCTACGTCGCGTGCATGCCCATCGAATTAGCAATTCAGAGTTGTTGCGTTTCTGCAACCTTTCGGAGAAAATGGCAAGGGAGCTTATCGTAACCATCTTACCCCTAACTTGCCTTGTGCTTGGCGGCTTGCGGCTTTTTCTGTATCGTCATCAGTCTTAGCATGACAGACAAGATGCCTATTACTCGTTTGCTGGCTGGCCTCGGTAGGTCCTACCTGAAAGAAGCCTTTCATTCCCGGGACGGGACTCCCGTCAGGACTTCCCTAGGTACCTAACCAACCAGTGGCCGGATAATTCTCAACGGCTCTTGTTCCTATTGGTGACTTGCCTTACCTAATCTCTCCATTTGGGCAATGCCCACGAAGGAACAGGTAGGCACGAATACCTCAGGTAGAACAGCCTTCGCCTTACGTTAGGCCGAAAGGTAAACCCCGCAGAATCCCCGGCTTAAGGTTTGCTGCGCTTTCCCCCTTCCCGCCTTGACTCCACGTTTCCACGTCTCCAACCCCTTCCCCTTCCCACCCACGGCGGTTTTTTTTGCCCAGCCCGCCACTTCCCGACCTGAAGCCGCTGCCGTTCCACCTGTCCCGTCACGTCAAGCCCTGCCACCAAAGCTCCCGTCTGCTGCGCTGCACCTTGATTGAGCTTCTGCCTCCCCGACCTCAATTCAATTGACATCACTCCTCCGGTCCAACCCTATCCTGTCCTTTCTCCATTCCGCCGCTTCATAGGTAACATGAACGGCATTAGCCTCTTGTGCGATGCCGCGGGCTCCGACATGCTGAACACGCTCTATTCCCCGCCCGAACCACCGAAACAACCGGCCCCTCCCAAACGCAAACTGAGTCTCTCCGACGCATCTCCCTCCGCGACACATGTTTGCCATATCTGCAAGCGCGTCTACGAGCGAGCCGACCATCTGACGCGCCATCTCCGGTCACACGAGAATGCAAGGCCCTACCAGTGTTCTCGCTGTCCAAAGCGATTCAATCGCGCCGACCTCCTGACCCGCCACGAGACCACCCACGACCGAGATTCCACCGGCAAGGGCAGAACCTTCATTCGGAGGAGCGATCGCGCTGCTGAGGCCTGTCTGAACTGCGCTGCCTCCAAGTCCAAGTGTGAGGTTCGTTGCCATCTCTGTTTTATGTCTTCCCGATGCCTCCCGCCGTCCACCGGCTCTGACCTCCACCGTTCCCGGCCGGTTCGTCACCTCAGCCGCCGGCCGTTGTATCCGGTGTCCATCATCTACCGCGAGTCCTGCTCCGCCGCTCGTATCTCCCGCCCTTCATATCTTTCGTCCGAGCTGCCGTTTTCCAACTCCGTGATTGTCCGTCCATGCGGTACTCGCATATCATATCAAGGAAAGAACACTGACATGACCACTCGCATAGGATGCAAAACCATGCTCACGTTGTCGCTCCAAAAACCTGCCTTGCGAAGTGCCATCAAAGCGCACCCATCCCCACCGAACATCTACTGACGAGGGGCACTCTACACCTTCCGAAACTTCCACGATGCATGCTGGGATGGACATGAATGGGGGGATGGACTCTGGCCCGGTGGCATATAGCAGCTCCAGGATGTCCATGATGCCCACAAATCCAGACATGAGCCACGAAATGGACGGGCCGTCATTCATGAATGACGGTTTCGCAAACCCGGTGATCGACATGGTAATGGATGATATCGTCAACTTCAACCCGGTCCATAATTACTTCCAGGACATGGACTTCTCGTCTTGGGACCTTAACTTCGACACCATCACTGTCCCACAAATTGATGTCCATCCGAGCCCGGAATCAACAACAACCAATCGCTCAAAGTCAGCTACCCGTAACGCCTCGAGAGCTCACGCTGCCTTCAAGCGGTCACCCTGGTTATGGGAACCGGGGCCCAAGGATCATGCACTTCACCATGCTTCTCCTCAGGATAAGGAGCGGCTCGTCTTTGATGAAAATAACTTGGCAAACTCGCCAGCATTCGACAAGCTAATCAATACGCCGGGAACCAAGCTGAAGATGACAGCTTCCGCAAGAGACAGCCTTCTGGCCCTGGTTGTGGCCAGCACGGTGCAAAAGGGAGCCCGTCAACGGACGCCCTCGTTCCCAACTCTGGACCTCTTGAATTATCTGGTTCAAGCCCACTTCATCCATGATGAACATCAGAGCGACAGCTGGATTCACATAGCAACCTTTGACGCGACTGCGGCGATACCAGAATTGCTCGCTGGCATACTGTCCAGTGGCGCAACATATATCTCCATACCAGCGGTCTGGCAATTCGGGTACTCTCTTCATGAAGTCCTGCGTCTCGCGCTGGCAGACCTGGTGAGTAATGTGTCTAATCCTTTGCGTTTTTCCCAAATCATCATCCGGCGTCCCGGATGCGGGTATCTGACTTATTATTGCTTAGTTCGAGGGTTCCAATACTTTCACACGAGATCTCGGCGCTCTCCAAGCCTTCATGTTGAACCTCGACATCGGCATTTGGAGTGGCTTCAAACGGAAGATGGAAATCGCAGAGAGCTTCTTGCAACCTCCTATGACCATGCTGAGAAGGGCTGGCAACTTCTCGGCCCCACCGGACTCACCCTCACTCATTCCAACCATGGCCGATCCCCCAGATGTCCTCGATTCCAAGTGGCGCAAGTTCGCAAAGCGCGAGTCTTACAAACGGCTTGTTCTGCATCTTTTCTTTCACGACATTGAAACATCCATCGGCTTCTGCAAGAACCCACTCATGTCTTTCACCGAACTCAGCTTTAGTCTCCCCGCATCTCGCGACCTATGGCGAGCGAGAACTGCGGAGCAATGGCGCAGCATATACATCGCCAAGACCAACGCTGCCCCAGATCGCACCATCCCTAGGGTCTGTGAAGTCATGCATTGCACTGAAATTCTCGATGACCTTGAGCAGTTGGTGGACATGGAGCTTTGTTATATGGCTTTGCTCCACGGATACTGGGGTCAAATTGGAGCGTACAGAGAAGCAATCAAGTTTTACACCGACGGCATGTCGAACAAGCGGAACACGACTCACAAATTATGGCTCAAAACCCAATACCAGGAGTTATACCGGGATCTAAACGACTTCTCAACCATGATCCTTACTTCAAAAAGGCCTACAGCGCAACTAGCGGTGATGTCTGAGGTGTTGATGATGGTACTTCACGTGTCACCCGACATTCTTCAAACGTTTGCGGGAAAGGCTGGCGAGGACGAGGCTCGACGAACGTACAGTAGCCTGGAGGAAAGCTGGGTCAAAACTTCGGAGGCTCGGCATGCTATTTGGCACGCAGGCCAAATTTTCCATCACGCGCGCCAACTTCCACCTGCCTCGTTACGAGACTTCAACGCCATTGCGATCTATTTCGCCTGTCTCACTCTCTGGGCCTACGGACTGCTCTCGTGCTCCGCGTCTAGGCACGGGTCGGATCCGGAAGTGGGAAGCGGCAATAGATCGGGAGCCTATATCCTCATGGATTCGGAAGAAAACCGTGAGACGAGGGCATTCCTTCAACTCGACCGCGGTGTGCCTGGTCTGACATTGAACGGCAACCCCGCTGACGGTGTTGAATCGTTATCAAACCCGAGTGTGGTACTTTCTGTTGCACGAGGCATTTTTAGGAACAACTTTCCTGTTGTTTCAGAGCCTTTGCCCCCGCTAGTTGAGAGCTTAAGAAGCCTTCTTCAAGATTTAGGTTCGGGCGCGGCAGGCCGACCATCGAGAGCTGCCAGCGTTGACGACATTTGACGTGGAGCAACTTTGGAGGCGATCGCTGTTGACCAGGACGGTATGGTCAGAGACCGACGGCTACAAGACCAGCAGCCAGATCCAAAGCGCATTATGGAACGATCTCAAACGGCGACGTGACAAGAGACTACCAAGCAAATTTCCAACAGGCCTGTTGGTCACCAATTTCTACGATGTTGTATGATAATTCGTCATGTATTTCATTGAGCGATTTTTGTCGAATTTAAGCATTGCAAAGCGGAATCTAGGTAAATCAAGGAGAACAGAGACTTGCAGACTACTGGAAAGTACCTATGCTCAGCGGATAGTGAAGTCTCTCGATTACGTAGGAGACAACTAATGCACAGACCACCAGGGCGCGGAAACAAGTTCACTTAAGATGGATGGAGCAAGCAGGTACATCGACTACATGGCATGTACATGTTCTCCGTCGCAGACTTGGCTTACTCTCAAGTAGCTCAGCTAAAACGGTGAGCTGCATTCATCCTGATGCGCAGAATTGTGGAAGTTTTGACGATGAGAGTTTTCCAAATGCGGCAACAAGAGTCGTTACGATATGAGACACGCCGTCCCCTTTTAAGGACAAGGTCTTCAAGTATCCGTACCTGCGAAGCTAAATCATTGACAGGGATGGCAATGATCCCCACCATGATCGCGAATCTGAACCTTCGACGCGTCGCGATTCTCTACCCTGGACACTCCACCAGCATGTGCCGTCGACTTTGGTTTCGGTACCGATTTTTTGGAAACGTTTTGCAGAACAGAGGGCTGTAAGCGGGACAGCGTTTATCATGAATTCTGAGGGAGCTGAGAACATGGCAGCGACCGCGCCTTCTCCCGTACCTACTGCTGCTGAAGCCCCTCCGATGGCGACAGAAAGCGCTGGAGAAGCTCCGGAGCTGCCAGCCCCTGGAGGACTGACAAGAGAAATATCAACTGAGGAGCAGCCATCTCATGAACAATCGAACCATGAACAACAGATTGCCGAAGAGTACAACAAAACACCACCTCTTCCTAGCAGCCCTCTGAGCACCGATGGCTGGGACGACCGGCGATCTTTCGAGGAAGGTCTGTTGGAGACATTCCACGCCATCGAGTCGCCGGGGACGTTTGCTTCATTCCATCCGCTCAAGACTGCCAATGGACCTCTCAACCCAGGGCTCCATGTTGCCGATGTAGGGCCCATTAGCTTCCCCCTAAAGGAGGAACAGGCTCGCAGCTTGATCGAAAAGGCGCGGCAAGCCCCATTCGGCAAGGGCAGCGATACCGTCGTCGATACGGCGGTGCGGAATACTTGGGAACTAGATCCCACGCAGTTCGAGCTCCGCAGCCCCAATTGGACCGGCGTCATCAACACGTTGTGTAAAAGGGCAGCGTAGGACATGGGTATCAACGCACCTATTATTGCAGATTTGTACAAGCTCCTGATTTACGAAAAGGGCGCCATGTTCAAGGCGCATGTCGAGTATGTCATATCCGTGGAGCCGTAGGTGTAAAGTAACGGGTGTAGAGCTAACCCCATCCAGCACCGAAAAGATCCCCGGGATGTTTGGCACCTTGGTCGTTTGCCTCCCGTCCCCTCATGAAGGAGGCGAGGTCGTGGCCAAGCACTGTGGAGAGACTAAGACGTTGAAGACATCCAAATATAGGGAAGGGTCCGTTGCCGCATGGTACTCTGATGTCTCCCACGAGGTTCTACCCGTCACTTGGGGATATCGCGTTGTTCTCACGTATAACCTCGCCCTTGACCCTTCGAGACAGTTGCCCTCTGGCGGCCGCCGGCGAGCCGAAACGCGGAAGCTGCGTCACTCGCTGAGGAAATGGTTGAAAGGCGGCATTCCCGGCCAGTCGGACGAAAATGAGCTCTACTACCGGCTCGACCACGAGTATACCGAGGCCAACCTCTCCATGTCGGCTTTGAAAGGACGAGATTACGAGGTGGTGCAAGTTCTCGACGACCTTTCCACAGAGCTCGAGTTTGAGGTCTTCCTCGCAGCGCTGGAGACCAAGGAAGAGGGCACCGTGGGATATGATCACGGTGGGTATCGGTATAAAGATGACGATTGGGACGATGACGATGAAGGGTGGCACGAGCTGGAAGACGTTCATGAGGCGTCTCAGCGTGTGAAGCAGCTTGTTGGAGTTCACGGGCGTCCTGTTATGCGTGACATAGAGTTCAATCAGGACCACGCCCTTGACAATGGTGATTTCTGGGATGACGCCGATCAAGAAGAAGAATACCAAGGGTTCATGGGAAACTCGGTTCGCGGTTACATTATGAAGTCTGGAAAGTAGAAGCTAATTTGTGTTCCAGGGACCTACCGCTACCCACTGGTACCGCGTTACGGTGAGTCAATTCCTCACACTGGCGTTCAACTTAGATATATGCTGATGAAAAAGTTAAGGCCGTGATGATCGTGCCACGTGCAAACGTAGCGTCATTCCTCAAACGCAACCTTGAGAAAGACGATAGGAGATCGGCCTACCCCTCCTATTACCTCGAAAAGGAACGCACAGGAAATTCCCGGCTTGTTGTGTCGTATTTGACGCACACAGCTTCGAAGCCGGGGAAGGGCCAGGCGTCGGCTCTCAATGCTCTGCAAGATATTTGGAACACATCGATATGTCAACCCGGATCAAAAGTTGCGTTGACGAGCACAGAGATCAGCGATCTGCTTGAAGCTGCCGTCCACTTGCGGGAATGGGAATTCTTCGAAAAGATTGCTGCCGACCCTCATGGGCTGATCAATTCCTATATCTTCGAGTGGTTGAGCAAGCAGGTCGGTGATGGCAAGGTCTCCTTCCAAAACATCAAAAAGGGGTATGTAGTCATCATCCTGGATATGAGGCATTCCTTTCAAGTTGAATGAGTGCTGACCTGGCAGGTTGACCTCAATGATTCTCGGCCGCGAGAAGTTCTCCTTGCGAGTGCACATGGTCGAGTCTTTTGCGCCGAACGGGTCTCCCGTCCTGACCGATGAGGTTCGCGAGTGGGCGCTGGACATCTTTTCCAAGGGATTGGCAATCTCGTCTGCTTCTGGCAGTTCTGTCGGCTCTGATGGGTTGGCTGCGATTCTGGCTGCCAGGCGGTATGCCGACTTTGCCTGGCTCAATTCAACGTAAGCTCTGCCGCCGTGCTTTTACCAGGCCGTCTCTAACAAATGTCGCAGCGTCCTCCCCATCATTGAGAACCACCTCAACATCCCGGCGTTTGCTCTCGACTTCCTATCAGCCCCCTTCATGATCACTAAGAAGAAGATCTTCCCGGTACAGGAAGGCGTGCAGCTCTACAAGCGCCTCGCCAAAAAGTTCATCTCGCAGCTCGACTTCAACACCGTCTACGGCGACAGACCGGAGGAGAAGAACATGCCGCGCAAGCGACGCAAAGACATTTCCGGGCAGCTCGGTCCCGGGGCGGACTACAACTACGACCTCGCCGTCCATCCCGACACGCTCGCCGATTTCTTCTCCCACCTCATCAAGCTGAGCACGCCACCGCAGGAGGACCTTGTAGTGCCCCTCGCCATCAAGCTTGTAGGCCACGCGAGGCACATGAAGTGGAACGACTTCCAACCCCTCTGGCTGCCGTTCCTCAGGGAGCTCATTGAGCGGCTCGAGTCCCATAAGGTCCCCCTGACGACTCCCCGCTACCGCCAGATAGCCGGCGCCATCCTTGAAGCTTACCGCGACACCTACCTCGGCGAGAAGCCCTCGACCCAAGCTCGCGATGACAACGCCAGGGTCTCCCCATGCTATCGCGGAGACTGCGACATACTGAACGAGTTTCTGTGCAGCGGCAACAAGCAGCAGCAGCGATTTACCGTCAGCAAGCCAAGGCGCCACCATCTCCATAAACAGATTGAGAACTACGGCATCAGATGCTCGCACGTCAGCGATAGGAGCGGTCCGCAGGATACGCTCGTGGTTCCCAAGCTGGACCCGGCTCCAGGTGCCAAGTGGAAGGTGGCCCGGGAGGATACGGCAGAGCAGTTCCAGCAGTTCGACCAGACGAAGCTGGGGATCCTGCTGGGCGAGGACTACCCGCGCATCGCGGAGGCATTGTGGGAGCGGCCCACGAATCTCGCGCCGGGCTCCGGCGGTATCTCTTACATGCCGGCACCGGTTCAGACTCATCCTCAGGCTCCTGTTCAGGCGTCATATGCCCCGGCTCAAGCTCCGCTGCAATCGACATATGCTCCTCCAGTTCAAGCACCTACATACCCGCCCGCTCAACCTCAAATGTCAACTCGGCCCCAGGGAGGTTTGGCACCGCACCCGGGACAGGGCATGTACATCCGCGAACCGGACAACCAGCCCTTCCCTACCGCGCCGCCCGCCCGGTTTGGCGTACACCCTCCCAACAACTGGGTCCGGCCGCCGACGGTCCACATGCCTCACGGCGTGCCGGACCCAAGACCTGCTGGCGGAGGATATCTATCTTCGATGCCAACAATGCAGAACCAGATGGCCGGCGGGCAGGCCCCGACGTTCGGGTCGTCAGCCAGTGCCGCGCCGCAGGTGCAACTAAACCATAGACCGCACGGCGGGCCTCTGGCGCCGATTACGGGCAACGCGGGCGGCCCCCCACCGCCGGGACAACACCTCCCCGGCATCAACAACATGGGCCTGCCGCCGTCGGTCGCCGGAGCGAAACGCAAGGCGGAGCCCGAAATCATTGACCTGACATGAGGGATGAAACCGCGAAGCAGATAAGCCAAAGAACAATAAAATGAAATGAATCCGCGTATCAGACTTGTTGAGTGAATGGAGCCCGTCGGTGATTGCCCGCAACGTTGACGATTCAGAACTTTTGAGACTTGAGAGATATGTTCAACACGACACATCTCCAGAGGCTAAGAATGCAGTGCAACCGTGTCTTTGATGGCATCTCCGAATTGCCTCACGAGAGGGAGAAGGGAGCCCGAAAATCTCTCATTGGAAATCCCGTATGTGTGAAGTCTATTAGACACCTCTTTCACTGACTCGTCCCTCCCTGCGCAAATGCTCCAATTTCTCGTGTGTATAATTGCGATCGGCCCGTTTGATGCCCTCAAGTGTCTGCTCCCGGACCGAAGCGGTGAGTCTGCGATAGAGTCTTGTTGCAGCGAGCAATAAATCAACGGTATCGCCGCATCGACTGAGTGCAACCTGACGAGGTTGATGTTGCTGAAACTTGCCCGCAGCTCTCTAAGGTAAATCGTTCGTCTTTTTTGTGCACTGGAAGCCCAGACATGCACAAGAAGATGTGCAGTTGATTTGGGTGCACAAGTTTTATGCTTAATCAATGCGGGTCGATCAAGCGAGGGCCAAGCCAAGCCAAGCACTCCTCCCTCCTCCCTAAAAGCAGCGACCTCAGACTATCACTCAGCTCGTTGCTCGGCACAGGTATTTGCCGGGGGTGTATCTTCATCTCAGTGAGATGAACGCTCGATTGCGATTGTCCCACCTAGCAGAAGGGGACTTCGTCATCCGTCATGTCATGAATTCCCATGATCTGATCCCCAAATTCCCACCTCCGCAGGAAGCACGGCAGCCCCGTCATTTCTTAAGCGAGAATGGGAGAAGGAAGAGAACCCCCAATTGTGATTCCGTGAGAGTGATGTGCAGTCTGTAACACACCCTGACGACAGGCCTCCCCCTACTGGCGTTCCATTTCAGCAACAGTATGGAGTACTCGATACTCTGTGGCCATTGCCCCTGCTATTTTAAGCAGGGACAAACGACAGTGGGACTCTGGGGTGGACTTCTTGCATCGTCAAAGTCAGTCGTCTCTTACACAAACCCCATCTCGTATGGGCCGACGATCCCCATCAAAAAGTGATATCATGACATGCTAATGTCAGGTTGAAGACTGACGTTTTAGCGTATGTACCGGGTCGAGTGACGGGAAGCCAGCCAGCCGCCCAGCCTCGCGGTGCCTGGCGGGGAAAAAGCTACCAAAAGCTAGCGACCGAGAGAGGTAGCTGAGTCAAGGGCAGGTTGTTGGGGGAATCTCCACCACAGTGACATTCCGACATGATCAGCGTTCGCTCGCTTGTCAGTTGTCAACGTCGTTCGTTCCGCTCGCTACCTTTAGTTGGAGGTGCTAGAGGCACGAGACGGCCGGTGCTGTGGTGCGCTTCTCCGTAACTTTTACGGAGACCAACCACCGCCTCACGGGGCACCTCGCCACCAACCCGGATCGGGGGGAGATGCGCTCGGGGTAAGTGGGGGTAAAGTGCGTGCAGCACCGGCGTGCGGCTGCTGTTTGCTGCATGGCCAAAGAGTCCTCAGTCACGCCAACCAAGCTTCCACTGACACCGACATACGAGAGATCCGACCGAAAGAAACTCTCAACGGCCTGCGCACTTGATTTCCCGCACATACCCCAAATCAAAGTCCTCACGCCATTCGAGCTGACAGTCGGAACTGCCGGCCAGTCTCGGACCTGATCGAAAAGGGAAGAGGGGGAACTGTACCCCGCGCAAACACAGGTCTCGACATCTCGTCCCAGTGACGTAACCGCCTCCGTCTCCCGATCATCTGCAGCGCTTGCATATCGTCGTTCGCAAAAGGCCGCTTCATTCAACCAGCATAGTCGTGATCATGCCGACCCAACGCAGCAGCGAGGCCGAGGTCAAATCGTGGGGTTTTCCTCACGTCTTCACTTGGACCGATGGACCGTATGTAGTAATAATCTCCTACATGTGGCTGGGCGACGACTTTCTGTGCTTGCAGCGCCCATGAAGTGTTATCCCGATACAGAAAACCAACGGCAGACTGACATCTGAATCTGCAGGAACGCGTATTATCCCCCGCATTCGCATCGCGGTCTGACAACACATCTGATCTTGAGAGGGAACTTGACAATCACCTATCCCAAGGATGAACAGCCCGAGAAGGTTACGTTTGGCGTCGGCGACCGCATTGATGTTGACGCTGGCCGCCTGCATGAGGTATGGATTGGAGATGAAGGATGTACCTATGTAATTGGAGAGTAGGCAATCGACGCAGTGAGATGCCTGGCGTGAGGCTTTGTTTCGTCATGTGTCCATATAACCTGCAGATGCCTCGGAGAATTTGTTGATCGTCATGTCAAGCCTATCCCGGACTTTTCGGAATGTGGACGCGGATCCGGTACAACGTCTCGACAACCTGGGTCTCGTCGAAACGTCTGCTTGATTGGAATCAAAAATTGCCCTAAGCAGACCGCTCTAGTTAGTCTGTGGCAAAGCAAAATCGTCTCCGTAAATATAGACATGAACACCGACGGCCTTGACCGCAGGCTTGACCAAGTTTGAGTTTGTCTGCTACTCAATGCGACCACCATGACTACTGCTCAAGTGATCGATGGCCGAACGCCCGGTCAGAGCGTTGGTCCCCTTTTCTGAATCTGAAGAAAAATGCACCGGATGAGCTGCCAATCCCGCCGGAGGTCAAAGTCGTGCATCGAGCATCCTTGATGACCGGGCGTGCCTTTTGTCGAGGTTTCACAACAAACAACATCGAGCCGCAGCGCCAAGAAGCGGCATTGTCATTGGAAATATCAGCTCAAGCATACGCAAGATGCGACTTCAGTCGACGAGTCCGCGAGTGCACGGGCGGAGGGATGAAGGTCGAAAATGTGCCCTTCAGGTGAGTGTCCTTGACGATAGACAGTCCCTTGCGTTGGCTGACAATTGTGTGTCAGCAAACTTAGTGGTCGCAACAGAATAGAATTCGCCCTGTCGTGGTGAGAGAAACGATTTTGAAACGAGAAGGAGTCCTTTGCCCGTGCACGTTGGTTACGTATGAAGTATGGAGGTCTCCCGACTCATTCAGGGGACCGGAGATCAAAACGTTCCGGAAGGTCATGGAACCCCAACCTCCATGCCGACGAGGCGACTTTCGTCCGTTCAATGCGGCGAACTGACTCAAATCTGAAGAAATGTGTGCCAATGTTGGGACGGGCTGTCTTGCGATTGAGCTTGGTGGAGAGCGGATCGGTGAAGCTTGCGCAGCCTACTGACGTGCTTTATTTTCCCCAAGGATATCCAAGTTCGTAAGATACTGCGCCTTGTGCCTGGTTGCTAAACAATGATTTCCTCGGCAGCATTCTTGCTCTCCTGGATCGGGCTGCCTGGCTATGAGCTTCGCTTCGCTCCACGTTGACCGATGACAGTTGGGAAAGTCTAGGCGAAATAAGCCTAGACGGAGCGAGCTCTGAATTTGACCACTAGCATAGACCATAGCAACATCGCGCGGGTATCGAAAATTATTCGTCCGTGGGCGCTTTGGGCGTCATTCAGTTTCTCTGCCATCGTCTCATGATGGGCTTTGCCAGCAGCCGCCAGCAGCGCCTGGGACACCCACTGTCTTGTTGTAGCATCGTTTGGATGACCACGAATAAAGTCCAACCACATCGAGTCATTTTGGAGCAACCGTCAGCCTTGACTCGAGGCCACGCGGGAGACATGAGTTCACCGGCTTTCCTCCGGGTTGGACAGTAGTCCACGGCTCGGAAAAAGGGCGGTCACCGAGTTCTGGAGCAATTGAGTCGAGTGCTTGCGCCGAGTCAGACTGACGTGGACAACGCGCTTGCGCAAGTTCTGCTTCAAGTTGAGAGTTTGGAGACATCCGCCAGCTTTCTTTTTCCGAGCAGCCGGATGTCGTGCGTCGGCGAGCGGCAACAGGCTGAAAAACAACGAACTGGCGAGATGAATGGAGTGCAGATCAATCTGGCTCAAGGCGCAACCATCTTCAGGTTGCATGATCATCCGGCCTTAAAAAATGGAGCCGCGGTGCCGTTCCATTTGCGGTGAGGTGCTCCGACGATGCTCCGAGGCGGCGTACTCTCGGTGCAGTCTGCGTGCTTGGTTCGATATGGCGGCTGTTTCGACTTGCCATGGGTCAACAGCGCACATCCGACGTCGCAGCGTCGTAAGGCGCATGTTTGGAAAAGCCTTGGTCGTGGTTGGATTAGAGACCGACTTTGTTGCTTCGTCCAGCACCATCGTCCAGCCAGTTTGTCCCACCCGATAGACAGGGATGGGAATAAAAACATTGCCGGCGAAAAAGCGGTCGAAGTCTCAACGATGCTGCGGGCTGGCGGGGTTCGAGCTGATAACAGACATGATAAGTTTGAACCGCGGAAACACGGCCTGCCAGCAAAGGTGAAGTACACAGTACTTCCCACGCTCCCCGCGAGTCCTTGAAAGTGGACAATCTTGCAAGTTGCCACGAGTTTTCGACCTCCAGGGGACCATCTACTTGCATCTTCGGCCGAACGAGCACCAAGTGCACGGCGCGTCGTGGTCATTCGTGGCATCAACAGGAAAAAAGTGTCCGTACCTCGCGAGTCAAGTTGTGCAGTGCAATTAACGGTCTGGATAAGCCGCTACGGGCGATGGCCGGGAGCAGTGTGTATTAGCAAGCGAGTGCAAGCAGCGCAGCGCAGCGTCTCATTCTCGAGTGTCTGAGACCGTTGTTGGCTGGGGCTCCTGGGCAGAAAAGTCGGATCCTGAAATCCTGGCAATTGCGCACCCAGCACTTTTGGCGACTGCAACCGTGCAACGTCGCTAGGAGCATTTTCGCGGTTTACAGCTTGTTAGTGGTTAGTGTGTTCGTACACCACAGACGACGGTTGACCCATCACCCTGGCTGTCATTCCGCCCACTCGGAGAATAATCCACTTGCGAATTGTGCAGAATTGAGAATGCGATCTCGATGGC